AAGTTTCACCAGCTGGCACATATGTTCCATCTGCAGCATAATGTCCTACTTGACTTTTCGTTTTTAAGAAAGCATTTACTAGGTCTTGTTTTGGTCTGTTGTAACTCTTTTCTTTGACTTTCCACAACAGTTGCTCTAACGCGTCATAAGGCACTTTGAACTGCCTGTCTCGTTGCGCATCTGTTATTTTCGTCATATTTTTGCTACTTCTCTTAACTCGTTTGTCGAAACCTTCAGACTTCAGTTTCTTTCCAGATGAGAAGTCGTTCACTAGTTTCACCTTACTATGAAGAGCTTCGAAGGCGTTCTTAAAGTCAGCATTCATTAAAGCTTCATTTGAACTGTCTTCATCCGCTTGTATTTTTGTCCTTATTGACCTATAAGTGGGCTGCTTTGGCGTTGGCTTGGGCATCTAACCAGTCATTATTAGCTTTTATATATTCTGCGCTTTTCATTGCCTTTTGCATGGCTGCGTCGTTATTTTACTTTCTTGTTGCTAAGTTTTCATACTGTACGGTTTGGTTTTGCAACTGTAAAAGTTTTTCTGCCTTTACATTTGCTTCAACTTCTTTTTTTTTTATACTCATCGCTATCCATATATGTCTTCAGGGCTTTTGTTTTATTTCTTCATCTTTCAGTACTTTATATTGAGTAGTATGGTTTTTCAAATTTATAACATCTTGTTCCTTTTTGCTACTTCTGCTGCTTTTTCTGACATTTTTCGCATATTCCTCTGTACTTAGTTCTTTCAGTTGTTCTTCTTTCTTCTTTTTCTCTACGTTTAACTCATTGAGTTTCTTTGTGTGTCTGTCATATTCTAGTTTCTTTTCGTTTTCACTTATTTGTTTCTGTATGTCTATGTTTGACTTTTTGACATCTGTTATTTGATTTTTGAGTGAACTCAAATTCATTTGACTTTGAGGGTTATAAGCTGTTCCGTCTGCAGCTCCACCATAGCCTGCCATTTTCGCTAAAAGTGCCGCTCTTAAACCTCCACTCTGTGCACCAATAACTCGGTTTAAAAGCATAGGGTTGCTTGACATTTGTTGCAACATAGTGGGGTCATTCATAATTTGTTGTTGCAACTGTTGTTGTGGTGTCAGTTTTACTATTGGATGTTTCAATGCTCTCTTCCTCTTACGTATATTCTTACGTAGCTTACGTGGCATTTTAAGTGAAGTTAAAAAGCGGTTTTTGACAGATGTTTATATGACACTTTTTGTTCAGCACAAAAAACTACTCGGTCAAAGTGTTGTCGGTTTTGTAAAATAACCGTCCTCTCTCATATTCTATCTTGTCATATATAAACTCATAGTCATGTATGTCCTCTAACCATCTCATAACGGTTTCCAAACCACTTTTATCGGATGTAAAGTAAAAGCATGGATGGTTATGTAAAACGTCTAAAGTTTCTAAAGAGTCTCTCAAAGTCCAGTCTACTTGGTATTGAAAATCCCATGTGTTATAGAACGGCGGGTCCACTATAAAGAAAACATTTTCCTTGTCTTTATATTTTTCATACAAATCTGTCCAATGACATCTCACAAACTCTATACCCTCAATATATTTTTCTATGTCCTCTTTGAAAACATTTGTATAGTTAAGATATAAAACTTTTGACATAAGTGTTTCAATGTCATGAACTCTTATAGAACCACTATATAATAGTCTAGCAGATATACTATCCCAGTCTATATATTCTGCTTTTTTCAAAACCTCTCTCACAATATTTTTCTTATCTAATGGTATACGTTCCATCTTACCTATCTGAATCTTTTCTTTTAACTCACTCAATATATTGTTTGTGTCTGGTATATGTTTGAGACGGTCCATATAGTTGTCGAAGTCATTGCATATAATCTTTGAGTCTGGGAATATTATATGGCACAAATGGGATATATAGAAACTTCCACCGAACAAATCTACAAATGTTAGACCATTCGGTAGTTTCTTAAGTTCTCTCAATATAATATATTTACATTTACTCTTATTTCCAAAGAACGGTAACGGAGGTTTTGTAAAATTCATTTATATATATATATAAAAATGTTTTTACCTGAAAAGTGACAGAAAAGTGACAAAACATTTACGAAGAAATCATGAAAATTCAAGAGGGTAGAAAAGAGGTTAGAAAAGAGGTTAGATCTAACCTTCTACCCTAAATTATATTTTTGGGTCCTTTACACTCATTACGAAGAAGAAGTCTTGACAAAACATTTACGATGAAATCATGAAAATTCAAGAGGGTGAGAAAACAGGTGAAAAAACGGGTGAGATCTCACCTCTTCACCTAAACATTATTTTTGGGTCCTTTACACTCATTACGATGAAGTCTTGACAAAACATTTACGTTCATGTTTGACAAAACATTTACGAAGAAGTCTTGACAAAACATTTACGAAGAAGAAGTCTTGACAAAACATGTACGTTCATGTTTGACAAAACATGAAAACATATATAATTTGTGAAAAGCTCCTGGAAGACCCGTATATATAAGAACTTCATTTATAATAATCATCTTCAGGGCTAGAAGGCACGAAGTGCCTGGAAGCCCCACTACCTTTTTTTTTTTTTTTTTTTTTAATACTCAATATGTATGCATCGAAGTAGTTATTTTTCTTATTCATTTTATCATGAAACTATGGCAATATTTTTGTCAAATTCTTTGTTTGTATTGTCAGTTTTGAATATGAGCATATATTTATAATACACTCAAGAATCATAATTGAGTCTGATAGTCAAAAGCTTATAAAATAAGGTTTGCTTTCATATGACAGATCAACATCATTTGTTTTCAGCATTTAATAAGAATATATCGTGTACTGAAGGATATCTGTATTAAACATCAATGACTAACTAAAGAACATTCAAATGATATTGTTGGTTTCTAAATTTATTGTTATTGCTTTGAAATTATATGGGAATAATAACAATATAACAATATCACTATCTATTTTGCAGATTTGTAACAACCAAAATCAATTCTGTAATTTTTGTTCTTCAATTTTTTAAATTTTTTCAAGTAATATTATTTGATTTTAAATATAAATCAGTTATATAGTTTATTTCTCAATATTATTTTGAATATTTTCGATAAATAAGAGGCCGTCCAACAAAAATAAGGTTATTTTTTTCCAAATTTGAAATACATTTTCACAATATGGAAGAGATTTCACTAAGTTCTTCCTATAGAAATGAGATAGTGTATTATGTCTAGAATCTACCATAATGGTAGAAACAGATATTCGATGAATAATTATTGAATTAAATTTAATATATAAAAAATTAGAACTAAGTATAAAATCATATTTAACAACATTATTCATACATATTTTGTTGTAAACAGAAATTCATCAAAAGTGACACCTCAGAAAAGCTAAAATATTGAATTTTTGGAACTTTTGATAGAGCACGTTTTTAAATATTAATTAAAGTAAATGTATATTTTGTAAAGATTCTTTTTAATAAAAAAATAAAATTTTGAAGAAGAACACAAAATCTTCTGAAAAATAATATCACATAAACTCATATTATTTTCTAATAGATAACTATTTTATATAAAAATCAAATTCAATGATCTTAAAAGCGAAGGATAAACCTCAAAATTTACGGATATAATGAGTGGGAATATAATGCTTATCTATCATAAAACCATATGAAATATCAATTTTTGCTTTACGCCTAATTTTTGACGACAATTAGCAAAAAATGTTAAATGTTAACACTCAGTCTATTTGAATATGAAAAATAAAATTGACTTTGATTAAATGTTTTTATTTATCATGCAATTCTTCTTGCGACCAAAGGTTTGGAATAAAAGTTCAAAAAATAAGATAGCTTAAAAAATAATATACGGTAGTGTTTACTAATAGATGAATAGTATATAAATTCTATTAAAATGGATTTGATCCAAAAAAATATAAAACCAAAAATAATTGTTATAATTTAAATGAAGAAGTAATTTAAAACAATTTTATTTATGATCAAATTTTATATATTTTTTTGGATCAAATCCATTTTAATAGAATTTATATACTATTCATCTATTAGTAAACACTACCGTATATTATTTTTTAAGCTATCTTTATTTTTTGAACTTTTATTCAAATCTTTGGTCGCAAGAAGAATTGCATGATAAATAAAAACATTTAATCAAAGTCAATTTTATTTTTCATATTCAAATGGACTGAGTGTTAACATTTAACATTTTTTGCTAATTGTCGTCAAAAATTAGGCGTAAAGCAAAAATTGATATTTCATATGGTTTTATGATAGATAAGCATTATATTCCCACTCATTATATTCGTAAATTTTGAGGTTTATCATTCGCTTTTAAGATCATTGAATTTGATTTTTATATAAAATAGTTATCTATTAGAAAATAATATGAGTTTATGTGATATTATTTTTCAGAAGATTTCATTCTATATGCCTATGAAAAGTACTCTCAAAACTAACTTTTTCCTAATTATAATTAAATCTAGAATATTGTATTATGCTTAGTATTATTTCATTTTTCTCATTCAATTTAGAATTTACAAATGTCAAAAAATTGAGAGCTGTCACTTTTGATGAATTTCTGTTTATTACAATTTCATTAATCAAAGGGTTAATTTTTCATATCTCAAAATTGAACGGATAATTTTTTGATATAGTATGCTTATTATATAATAGAGGATGTAAGTGCGAATACTAGTAATAGAAAATAGAAAAATCACCTTAGGAAATCGAGATACAATTTACATTTCTTTCAAAAAAGAATACATGAGCTATTGTTATTATACAACATTATATTGCAGCTGATATAAGTTAAAACAAAGATCTATTTTTAAATAAAATTATATTTAGGCTTTAAACATGATGAATAGTAATAAAAATAACTATGTATATAAAACAACTCAATGAAACTTATATTTAGTAAAATATAAATTTTCCAAAGTAAAATATCAAAATAACATAAGCATATTTCTAATAGAAACGTAACAATTTAAATTTATGAACTAAAAGAATGCAGCAGAGCCACCTTCATCCTCTATAAAATCATCAACACCAAGAAGCAAAGTTCCGCAGTTTTTCAGATAGCAGGGATCATACCTTAAACTATCTTGTTGTAAAAGTTGACCGCAAATTGGACAATGCCAGTCATCTGTAGCTTGAGCGTTTTTTATAAACGTAAGAAGGTCAAAGCATTGACAATGTGTACAACTTGCTCCCCTCCCAGGGGTTACAATCTGTTTTTGCCCTATCGGGCATATTTCACTAATATAATTATTAAATGGTGAAACTTCCATATGAGGAACCTGCGTAACAATCTTATTAACGATACTTTCAGGGGTTTCATTATCACGCCATTCTATTGAAATTAAAATTTCGCAAGTAACTGAAGTTGTATTGACTAATATTTCATTTTGTCCGTTTCTCAGAGCTTCTGTTATATCTACTTCCTGGCCCTGATAAATTGAAGGTGTTCCATTTAAAACATAAGGAACTGAGACATTTGCCGGGTTAAAAACCAAAACTACGTTGTGACCTTCGCTGTGAGCGAAATTAAAAGCGCAAAGTAATCTAGGTATCTTTGGTATAAGTCTGAAACAAATGTGGCCATTTATTACTTGCCCTCTGCAAGGAACTTGTGATTTACTTAAGAAAGCTGAAATATCTGGTGTATTTGTTAATGAAAGATATAAACTAGCACCACCTGGATTAGGAGCAGAGCCAGAAAGCACTAGATCTGATATCCTCTGATTAAGTTGAAAGCCTGATTGAACAATACGAGCAACTCTTGCACCATTCCTTCTGCTCGTTCTTGGTAAGGACGAGGCACCTGACTTGGTCGAGTTGGTATCATCCGAGTTACTGATTGATTGCTCTACTGAATGTTCCTTGATTTGCGAAGGAACAGACATTGACAATGCCACTTTTTTACCATATTTTAATCAGCACGAATAAATATCAGATCTCTTGCAGGAATATTGACTCTATACTGTTAACAAATTTAAATTTGCTGACTGAAATCATTAATTAATAAATTCTCTTATTTGATGAAAAATTTCAGTCTATTTTGTCAGCGATAACTATTGAAAACAATGAAAGCTCACAACACAGATATTTACCATATAGATCATGCTTCATTTTAATACAGATAAAATTCAATGAAGAATCAATTTACTAGTCTAACAATTAGAACTGTAATAAACAGAAATTCATCAAAAGTGACAGCTCTCAATTTTTTGACATTTGTAAATTCTAAATTGAATGAGAAAAATGAAATAATACTAAGCATAATACAATATTCTAGATTTAATTATAATTAGGAAAAAGTTAGTTTTGAGAGTACTTTTCATAGGCATATAGAATGAAATCTTCTGAAAAATAATATCACATAAACTCATATTATTTTCTAATAGATAACTATTTTATATAAAAATCAAATTCAATGATCTTAAAAGCGAAGGATAACCTCAAAATTTACGGATATAATGAGTGGGAATATAATGCTTATCTATCATAAAACCATATGAAATATCAATTTTTGCTTTACGCCTAATTTTTGACGACAATTAGCAAAAAATGTTAAATGTTAACACTCAGTCTATTTGAATATGAAAAATAAAATTGACTTTGATTAAATGTTTTTATTTATCATGCAATTCTTCTTGCGACCAAAGGTTTGGAATAAAAGTTCAAAAAATAAGATAGCTTAAAAAATAATATACGGTAGTGTTTACTAATAGATGAATAGTATATAAATTCTATTAAAATGGATTTGATCAAAAAATATATAAAATTTGATCATAAATAAAATCGTTTTAAATTACTTCTTCATTTAAATAATAACAATTATTTTTGGTTTTATATTTTTTTGGATCAAATCCATTTTAATAGAATTTATATACTATTCATCTATTAGTAAACACTACCGATATTATTTTTTAAGCTATCTTATTTTTTGAACTTTTATTCCAAACCTTTGGTCGCAAGAAGAATTGCATGATAAATAAAAACATTTAATCAAAGTCAATTTTATTTTTCATATTCAAATAGACTGAGTGTTAACATTTAACATTTTTGCTAATTGTCGTCAAAAATTAGGCGTAAAGCAAAAATTGATATTTCATATGGTTTTATGATAGATAAGCATTATATTCCCACTCATTATATTCGTAAATTTTGAGGTTTATCCTTCGCTTTTAAGATCATTGAATTTGATTTTTATATAAAATAGTTATCTATTAGAAAATAATATGAGTTTATGTGATATTATTTTTCAGAAGATTTTGTGTTCTTCTTCAAAATTTTATTTTTTTATTAAAAAGAATCTTTACAAAATATACATTTACTTTAATTAATATTTAAAAACGTGCTCTATCAAAAGTTCCAAAAATTCAATATTTTAGCTTTTCTGAGGTGTCACTTTTGATGAATTTCTGTTTACAACAGAACTAAATGAATTCATATAAAAAAACCCTAATATATCAAATTTAATCAGTTACTGCTTAAATATGCAAATTTCGGAAATTCAATTAAAAGAATAACCCATAATTCTTTCCATAAGAACCCCAAACTCTCAAATAATCTTATGTCTATAACAATTGGTTTTATATACGTTTTGAAATTTGAATTCAAAAACAAATTTTGCAATCACAGCATTATTGTAAGAAATCGATATAAGTACAGTATACATTGTGCGTCGCCTGTAGCCTACAGCTACAGGCACCGACACAATGAAAAAAGTGACAGAAAACTGACACCATACGGGCGCGCATATGTACGCATATATGTGTAAAAATAAACGTTCATATGTAAACTAACCTTTATTCACTAGCAGGGGCTGATAAATCATAATCGTCGAGAAGTACGATAGGTGGTCCCACAGGTTTAATCTGTATGGAGAGGCAAACGTGACGTAAGAAGCATAACACTGGTTTCTCAGTATATTTAATAGACTCTGCTGTTGGCTTAACTGTAAGCTTATATGTAATAGGTGAATTAGATAACTGACCCTGTTGGAATGTATAATCAGTTTCGCAAGGGAATCCACATAGGTAATGACCTAAGTCATTTGACTCGATTCCAAATTGAGGGACTGATGTGGTTGTGATAGACCTCATGACATCATAGTTGAAGCCAACAGTATCGTTATTATTGTTAGTGGCATTTGCCTGCATCTCATAGAAGATTGGATCATTAGATGCTTGAGCCTCAGCGGGTATGTTACCATATGCTCCACAGTTCAATTGAATTTGTTCAAACAATGGATTTTCATAGGTAGTGTTATAATTAGGTGTTTTCTTAAATAGTGTATAAATGGTGTTCACATATAATGGAGTAAATGCTGCCGTGAATGTACAAGGAGTTCCTTCACCTTTAGCCATTGAACCATCCATAGTAATGCAGTCAATTCTTTTGATTGGGAAGTTTAGAGTCTTTGCCGAATATCTTGTCACCAAATCACTATAGATGTTAGGGTCCAAAGAGAATGAGTTACAGTATGTAATCATTTCAAAGAAGTTTGCATTCTTCTTAGTGAACTTAATAAACTTGGTACCAAATGATATCGTACTCTTATCGGCATTCCAAGTTACAGTATCAATAACTTTGATACCTTCATAGATAGGAGTGAAGTGATTAGTGATTGGAATATAGCTTGTAACATTGGCTTGCATGTTCGGTAATGGTAGAATATCCTGATAACTTAATGGTGTCCAAACCATACCAGCAATACTGAACTTAACCTTAAGTTGTAAGTTACCAGCAAACGCTGGAAGGAATCTAATGTTATTAAGTATTAGGAATCTTCTTAGGTCAATCTTGATTGGTATGTGGAACTTTAATGTAGTTGCACCACTAATTGGTTTATTGAACTCAATAATCTGTCCAGAACGAACTGTATCACATCTATTGAAAACATCTTTATGTCTAGCCTTACTAAATACATCAACTTTCTTAATAGCTTCTGTTGTAGATGCAGTAGAAGTAATGTAACCTTCTTCTCTAGCATTATCTTGTGTATAAACACTTTTACCATTAGCGATTAATTGATATGATTCAACAGCATAGAATGAATCAATGTATCCCAACCAAATTGCTGGAAGATGTGCACATGATTTGCCACCAGCATATTTAGTATCAATTGCTTTAATTGCTGTAACATTTGATCCTGTAGGAGCGGTTTCAGTTTTTGATGAAGTTGCTGTCTCAGCAGCTCTTTCTTTATATACTTCACCATCATATTTAGGAACTTTTTCATCAGCTGGTTCAGTTTCTGTTGTAATTATGCACTCACCATCGACATAACCACTAATGAACGTATTATATAAGTCAATCATGTTCTCACCAGGTGGTGATATGTTAAATGTAATATAACCGTTATCAATAGTATTTGTCGGCATAGCTGGCACTTTTGTTGGGACATATCTATGGTTAGTATCTCCAATAGGAACTGCCCCATCAACTTGATCGAAATAATATCTTACTTGTCTGATGGAATCAGCAATACTGTATGTATTGAGGTTATCGTTCAACATCTTTCTCAGCTATAAAAAATTTACAATCTTCTTATTCTTGGGATTATTCGTCTTATTTGTGGCTGAGGTTTAGGAGGTTCTGGTTCAGGCTCTGGTTCATCATCGAAGTGTATTCTTTTCTCTTCCATTGATTGAACATATTCTTGATTCTCTTTAGTTTCCTTCTCACGTTCAATTGGGTCCATGTTTGGTTCATTAACTACACTGTTACGTTCTAATATCTTTGTCATCATCTCTAACAACATTTTATTAGTATATGCTTGTTCTTCTTCTTTCTTCTCATCAACTTTAGGAGCTTCTTGAACAACAGGAGCTGGGGCAGGAGCTGGTGAATTCAATGGTGCCTTTCTCTTTCTAACTTGAACTGAACCATTCTTCATATGACAAACATAATATAATGGATGTTGTATTCCTTTAGCTTCATTCAATATGATTGATTGCTTTTCACTTGGTGAAAGTTTTGACGTCATTTCTATCCTAATAAAATTTTTTACTCCTAACAAAATGACTGAGAATACTTTCGACAGAGAAGCACTCAAGAATGAACTTCGTGAAGAAATACTTAATGAACTCAAACCAAAAGAACAAACACAAGAAGAGAAACCAGCTAAACCAAAGCGTAAACTCACAGAGAAACAATTAGCTGCATTAGCAGCTGGACGCGCAAAGAATCCACGAATGATTGCAAAGAAATTGAGAGAAGAGGAAGAAGCTAAGAAAAATAATAAGTAAGTGTTTAGAACTTTAACTTACGTTCAAAAGATGACTTCGTTGAAATAGTGAAGTCCTTATTTTTGTTGAAGCATGGTTTCGAACCAATGCACAAGTCAAAGGTTATCTCATCACCTTCATAAAGAGATTTGTACAATTCCACGATGCTATATTTTTCCCCAACTTTCTCAGGGAAGAACAAACCTTTCTTCTCGTCATAATGTACTTGTATCGCATCTGGGAACATTTGGTTTGCAGTAAGTGCAATTACGTCCTGTGTGATTCCCTTCATTCGACAGTGGAAAGCAATTTCCTTGAGGTCATTGGTTAATTCGTCGAGGTAAGTCTTCTTTCCAACGAATATAGATCTTTGTGCCTTAGACATATGTCCTGCAGTAATCTCTGCAAAGTCTGAATGAAATTGACCCAGTGCTTTTCCAATGAGTTCTCTGTTATACCTTCTCTTGTATTCTTCTGCTAACTTATCTAAGTCCTTCTCATACAAGTGTAAACTATCTGTATCCTGATAGAACAACTTCAAGCCCAAATCTTCTGCTGTGAAGAATACTTCATTCATGATTCGTTTGGACATAGAAAGGATTGAAACACCTAATGGACAATAGTTAAAGTGACGAACGATAGGTTTAAATGACTTTACACATGAAAGT